CCCCAAAACCCCAAAACCCCAAAACCCCAACTAGTGCTGCAGCAGTAGAACTTAAAGTTTAAATATTTTTATTATTAAATTTTATTTCAGAAATAATATGGATAAGATTGTACCCATAATTGATCAAAGTAAGTGCAACTCCAGTCCCTCATGGGCTAGAGTTACAAGAAATTTCCTCTAGGGCAGGGACGCCTCCCTAGCAAGTTTCAGTTCATTTAGATATAAAATTCATCTAGAGTTAGCTTCAATAGATAAGAGAGAATTATAACAATGCCTTGCTAAACAGTTAGTCTATTCAACTTTAATCATGGTCCTTCTTCCCAGTTTTGATTTGCAAATTTTAATGATTCTGAATGACAGGTGCTTCCTAGGGCACTCTCTTAAAATTTTACTCTTGGGCTTAGCATACCATGTTCTAAAATATGAATTAATTTCCTCGATTCTAGAATTTTGAGTAGTGTTTAAATTACCCTGCTATAAGTAATTATTCCAAAAAGATTTTAACGAAAGCTGTCTGGACTGTTTTTTCAAGTTAAAAGGAAAATTATTATGATAAAAGGAACAAAACAGTTGTCCTTCACTTTCGTCGGCTTCATTTACAGGTTTAAAAATTCAAAAATTTAGAAATAATCCCGATATTGCTGGGTTTTTGACGTCTTGTCAACTATTTTAGAAATCGTGAATATTTCCCATAAATTACTCTTTAAAAACACGGTTTTAATTAGTAGAGCAATTAAGCAAATGAGGCTCAGAGGCCAATCGTTTCCTTCATAACAGCAATGGCTTAGAGATAGCTTAATAATTTGTTCTAAAGCCTAGATTTTTCTTACGGTATTAAACTATTTTTGAGGCTGAACAAAATTAGGCAAACTAAGGTAAACCATCTCTTGCTTTATATGAAGTAATTTTGCAGTTCTCCAATAGAAAGAATTAGCTATTGTGTGATAGAAATAGCAAGTAATCAATACCTTGATCTCTACACAATGTGTGAATGTACAATTATGAACTAGTTTACTTTGGTGATACTAAAACTCGAAAAATGGAAGTACCCTTAGTTGGGCTACCTCTGTGCTAGAACATCCAGATTTTGTCACTATTATTACTCGAAGCACCAGGATATTATGCTACTGAAAGATTTAGTATGTTTGGGGAAATCCCAAATTTAAATTTCTTCATAAAATATTTGAGAAAATTCAAATCTGAGTTCAATTCAAAAATTTAGATTTTCAAAAATATTTAAATCTCAAACTTATTAGTAGGAATTTTTGAAATTTAGAATATATGAAATATTGGGCACTTAAGCTACGAGGAAGCCTGAAGTAACTTATATCTGAAAACTTATTAAGACTATTCTTCCATTTGAAGAATAGTGATTAACACATGCCAAAATAGTTTAGCGAGAAAAAAGGACGAATGACTAGTAAAATATTGAGGTTAGATTATCACTCTCTGTATTTCTATGTGAAAACATTTAAGAAATTTCTGCCAAAAGTACTATGACATTCACATAGATATTGACGAATACAAAGTCGAAGAGACTGAAGTCAATCTGCTTGAGAACTGCTATAGCTATTACAGTAGCTCTTCAGGCGAGCTTTCGAGCAACAATAATGAAGATAGTGATGACGACTCTTTGCTATAATGTTAGGGAGAACGGAGAGTCCAGCTTCTAAACTTACAAACAAGCAGTCATCCTTAATCAGTGATGCCAGCATCATGGACGATTGGAAACTAGAGAATGACACTACAAATAGGGAAGAACGCAAGCAGGGGGAAATACCTAGAGACTTTAAACTTGATAATCAGAAGTCACCACCTCAAAAAGATGCAGACAACAATAAGTTTAAAAATAACGAAAACCGCTTAGGAAAAGACTTCTTTGATCCAAGGTAACTTGTCTCTATAATAATGCATCATATGGCTTTGTGTGCTCTTGAAGGCTTTTATATTACTTCTTTAGCCAACTGTTTCTTCAGTAGACTCTGTTGCTCACAGCATATATCATAAGCTCTAGTTTAGCTACTTTACTTAGGGCAATGCATTAGGGAAAGATAACACCTTAGTCATATTAAATGATTTCTGCTAATGGCTATATTTTATAATTCCAGAATTAGCAAGCTTTGCTTGGGGTATACGTTGACAAAATCTTTTGAGAGGAAGATTTATTAACTTTTATGCACCTTATCATGCTCAAATACACGCTTAAATCCTTATTTTACAGTGTTAACTTCTCTTATTTCCAGTAGCACAAATAGGTAAACGTTGTAGATATTAGCAAGAGTTCTCCAGTCTTTCTAAGAAAAAGGTTATTCCACAGAAAATTCTGCCGATTTCTGAAACAATTTCATATATTCTTAAACATTATACCAAAATTAACTCTAAATACAGCCTAAAATCACCTAAGAATGAATCTCAAGCCAAAAATACCCTCAAAAAATCCCACAAAGAGGAACAAAAATCCAAATCCAAAGAACAGTAAGAACACATCTCCCCGCCCCCTCTCCCCCACCCCTCTCTACTCCCCCCCAAAACCCAAAAAGCCCTCTCTATACTCCCACCGGGCCTTTACCGTTCAATTTCTTCCTGATTTAATAACCGAGTGATATAGAAGAGAATTAGAAGACCAGATTTTGGAAGAAGGTGAGTTAAGTGGAAGAGGGGAGGAGAGGGGATTTGGGGAGGATTTAGTATTGGTTGGGATATAGGATGAGATCTGTGGTTGGTGGATGTAGGTATAGTTCTAGATTTTTGGGGTTTAAAGGGATTTCATGTGTCTTCAAGTGGCTTCGTAAGGAGATAGCTGTGCTTAGATAGTATTTACTTTGTTTTTGTATTGATTTGGAGATGACCTTTTTTATTTTCATGATGAATTGCTTCTGAAAATATGTTTTATAACTATGGCTATTGTTAGCAACTAAATCTTAAAATTCTTTTCGAAATTAATCATATTTTGATCTTATCGGAGTCAGACCTAAGTAGGCTTAGTATAAACTTTTCTCATATTAGTAAAATATGATGTAAATAATCTCTTACTCGGATTTAGCCTCCAACTGAATAGTGGCCTAACCCACTAGATTAGCTACAAAGTCCTCAATCATGCTTGTGACCTCTTATAATATGCCTAACCTAACGAACACAAGAAAATTTTTTGACTTACTCTATAATTTTTATAAAATCCCTCATTTAGTTTATTTTCTTGATCTTTGAACAATTAAAAGTTAATATTTAATCCTCTACCACACAGCCTACAACTCTTGTACTTTCCTTATTATTCAAATTACTTCTCTAATATGCTATCATAATCTCTTGAGGCCTCATATTCCCTCTCAAAACTCCAACATCTCACTTTCCTCAAAAGCTTCAATAACTGATCCCCCTAATTTCCCAATTGGCCCTTAACTTTTCCATAGAAGGTTTGCAAAAAGTGAGTTTTCCAGAGGCCCAAGTGGAAGAACAGCTTAAAAACACTCAGGAAAAGTTTGACCCGGATTCAGACCAGCCGCTGCAGGTCTCCATCGGAGATCTGGTAAGGATTTCCATTCAGCAAAAGGGGAGTAAAGAACCCATCCAATGGATCGAGTTTGACCAGAAGTAAGCTCTTGCCTCTTAAACACCCTTTTTGTCTCTTTAGTGAAGAACTTCTGACAGAAGAGAGTTCTTGCCCCACTTTGTGCCTGGGCTAGGTTATACTGATGAATTTTTAGGAAATCAAAATGGTGCTGTGCTAGAGAAGATAAAGAGATATCTGACTTCATCATTAGACCAGTGTTGCACAAATCTCCAGAAATAATCGTTAAGCTCTATAAAGGTACTATCAAAGATGATAAAAATAAGAAATCTAATATTTCAGAGCAATATGTCTCTAGTGTCAGGAATGTGCCAAAGAACTTAAAGTATTTGGAAGAAACGAAGAAGCATCCCTTACATTTGACCCAACCTTTCATGCTCAAAGTTGTGGCCACAAGCTCGCAGAAGGCTAAATTTGAACTGAACACTAGTAAAAAGTCAAAAAACAATGATCCAGAAAAAGGCAACCCAAAGAAAATTGAAGATTCATGGATATTGCTATCAGTGGACCCTAATGATAAGGAAGTATATGTAAAACCCATGACTTGTTATTATTTGACAAAAATTGTGAACTCGAAAATCCGCTATCTCAAAAGGAAGAGTCCTCACAAATTAAGTAAGCTTAGACTTGGTAACTTATAGCTGCGGATAAGGAAAAAGCAGCAAAGATTGAGATTTGTACGTTCGAATAGTAATGCTATAGGTATCAAAAGAAAGGATCTTCATGACACTCCCGATCTAGGTATAGTCAATCAAAGAGAGTTATTACTATTTCATGTCCTTTGACGATAAGTGTCTCTACTTCAGTATTGTTCATAAAATGGAGATCATAGTTAGTAATAATTTTATTTGAACTTAAAATACAGAATTCATTATTAAATTCTGACAGTTGGGAGAGAAGTTTATGCAGCTTTAGCTCAATAAATTTAGCCTTTAACACCTGCATTTTGATATAACTTGATAGATTAGATTTCCTAAATCTTCTGAGAAGAAAGAAAATAACTTCGGATTCTCAAGAAAGTCATGAAACTGAAGATTAGGGATGACCAGGTTAGAACCTAATGGCTGGGTATCTATTTTGAGCATTTTAGCATTCTTTTAGAACTTTTTGGAGCATAAAACTACTCCATTTGAAGGTTCTAAAAAGATCAAATAAGGCAACCCACAGTGGGTCCTTATCTGATTATTCCTAATTTCCTGTTTCATGAACTTCTCGACAATCTGAAGATATTTTCTTGTTCCTAAGATAGTCTAGGTAATCTAATCTATCAGTTTATATATGGACGATAGGCACTTAAGCCTGCATTGATATACCTTGAGGACAAGCTTTCCGATTAGTTGTCTGTAATGACCAATTAAACAAAGCTAGACTGTGGATGTTAAATATAAAGTGATTCCCACGTGTTTCAATTTTGATCAATATTTTTATACATGTAAATCCAACTTTTGTAATTTGATAATTAGCCATTTTAAAATATCCCAAATCTCTTGAAGCTCAGCCTGTACATATCTTACCTTGTTTAGAATATTTCCCAAATATCTAATGAACAGATATTGTGTGAAAGGTTCTTGAAATAAATGCAATTTTTGAATATTTTGGTTATTTCAACTACAATTCATAGCTGTAGTCGATGGTTCACAATTTTACTAAGTTTCAAATATTAACGAATATGGGTTGACATCGTTTTGAATGGAGGCTTTTGCTAATTTAGCCAAAAATCTTACAAACTTGCTTCAGAAAAATGTATGACTGGTGATATTAGTTGAAATGTATAAGAATTGCTGGTTCTTAAATTCATAATATAGTAAAATGAAATAATTTAAAGCTGCTAGAATCTAACTGTCTTTTAGCCCAAAGAAGAGTGTTTGATCTGAGTTTGAATTCTCTCTTTGACAATAAAGCAAGATGACTTAGTGTTAAGCACTATTACCCACTTACAAAAACATCTCAGTCTTTAGCAAACGACCCAGTTGTTGCTATCAAATATGACTCTTATGCTAAAATCCCTCTTCAAAATTATTTCACTGTGAAATTCTCAAAATCTTCTGGTAAAAGCTTGATAAGCTTCGAAACAAAACTCAAGTTTTCTGAAAAAAAGCAATACTTAGGATGGACTGAAAACAAAGACAAGCTTGAAAGGAAAGTCATACTTGTGAACGAAGAGTACCATTTCGAATTAAAAGAAGTGGTTAAAGGAGAAGGGGGAGAACATCTTCTCACAAACCAGCAGTTCTTACTAAAAATCCCTGACACAAATTATTGCCTTAGAAGTGTGAGTAGTTCATACAAACGTATGAGCGATGTCAAAATATCTGAGTTTGATCAGAAAGATGCAGAAGAGTTCTACTTCCACATCCAGCGCATGCAATGATGGAATTTGTCCTTCAGTGAAATCTCTGATATTGATGATAATATATGGAAGTCTAGGTCGCGAGACTTTTCTTCTACTAGTCTAGAAGATGCATATCTGAAGAAGAAAGAATTTCTTCATAAAGCCTATAGCATACTCAGGAGTAAACAGCCCAATATTAAGAAAGATGAATTACAAGAGACAATGTGACTCAATGGTAAGCCCAATCAAGACCTAACTTCTAGGCTATTTCTATATTAACCTGATTAGGTTCTTACACAAAGTCTATGACTTTAATGAAGATCTTAATCAACTTAAGAGCATGAGAGATGAGTTGAGTGAACAAAAAGAGCTGAAGGAGATCGGTAAGTATAAGCAACAATTTCATTCAACAGAGACTCTTTGATTTGTACATATCATAAAGTTTGTTCTAACGCAGGATCTCGAAACTCTGATTTCTGATTAAAATACCCCATTTTAGCAACAAACCAATTGAGTTTATAGGATATTATTTTCAATGAAATCCTATATCTAACTTTTCTGAACTATTAATAGAGTCTGGTATCTCAAAAGAGTTGGATTTATCTATACAACCTTCAATCTTAAGTTCTGACTCAAATTTAGATGCAAAATTCTACTATTCGCCTCAGATAGAGTACAACCTTGCGATAGGATTGAGTCAATTACCGGACGATCCTTGCTCTATTCTAGCAAGAATCAAGGAAATCCCAGTTAAAGGTAAGACTTTATGCATTTCCTTGTATATATTCCGCTTGCAGGAAGAATACTTGCCTGTTGTGGTTAGACAAGCAATCTTACTCTAGATTTTCATGCTTGGGATAAGCCAGGTCATATATCTCTTTGCTTTATTGTGTATCGTATAATAGGATTATCTATAGAGTGTTATGAAGACAAAATCGATTACAGGTACTTTTCCCCTCTAAATTTTAGGAGAATAATGATGCTCCAGAAGATATTGGCTCTGTGCCAACATATCAAAAGGCCAAATTCTAGAAGTAGGTTTGCCCAATAGGACATGAATAAAGACAATTTTACTTATAATTTTGTCTGTAATTTGTTGGATCAGCCTGTATTTTAAGCAATTAGGCATATCAAATAGTGACTAATTGGCTTTTATAGCTATGACAGAAAAATGTTATGAACTCGATTGATTCCTTCCGTTCCTTGAATATGAGTTTAACAAAGGAATTAAAAGCATGAACGTTAATATTCTTCTGGGGCTAGCCACCAATAATTACAGAGATAAACACTGAGTCAGCAATAGTCACATGCTTAACTATGAGGTAATCCAATATATCTATGTAAACCTTGAGGGTAAATTCCAAAATATTGACCGAGAAGATACTGATTGAATAAATATTAAAAAAAATATTAGAAAATCTTCAGAAGGAATCTAATCATAACGGAGAGTCTCAAGAAAACCAAACGAATACTAATCCAGCATTTAATGGAACAGAATTCATTGAGAGAACTTTGGAGAATCGAAATGATCATTTAAGAGAAATAATGATCGTATTACTTTATAGCTATGCCATCAAACCAAAGATTTGTAATGGGACTCAAAGTAAATCCGACGTTGGTTTTATACACGATGTGAAGACTTTGATTAATAACAACTATGAAGAAATTCTCGAATCTTCAGTCATTATGGATCTTGTTATAAGAATCATGAGAAATTTGAATTATTTTGAACCCTCTGAAGAGTCAACATTCTCAAAAATCAAATGGTGAATGAAAGAACATGAAAAAGAACAAGCAAAAGGTCAAAAGAATACTCTTCTGAAAGGGTTTGATGCGCTCTCTAAGCTGAAAGAAGACTACTCATTTCAAGATCTTTCTACAAGTTGAGAAATATTAGACTTAATAATCTCAATGCTCCAGCTAGAATATTATCAAAAACAGATGTTATCAACATTAAACAAACACCTAAATTTTGAGTCTCTGACTAGTGCCCTAACTAATCTCTCAGAATTATACCTATTTGCTAAGCCACATGCGTATGATTCTCTCAGGTACACCCAGCTGTACGATGAGAAGTACATCAGAGCAAATGAAGCAGCTGTCGATGACATATGCGATAGTGTTGATGTAATAAAAGAGTCTTACAAACGGGAAGTTGTCAAGAGCATTTTTAAGATGTTCAATATTATATGAGACATTCACCAAGAGCCAAAGGAAGAAGAGAAGTCCTCATATAAATATCCTTATCTTCTTAAGATCATAAGAGAATATTCATCAGTGAACCGTGAGTTATTCGCCAATGTTCTTCAGGATGTAATAATCAAGTGGATCAACTTTAATGACGAGTTTGAAATATCTTCTGAGATTTTTGAATCTCTTCTGATATTTGATTTCAGACCTCAGCCTTTGGATAGGAACCAATTTATCAGAAATAATGAAGAAGATAAATTTTCTGATTTATGTACTGAATCTCTTACATTCGTCACACATTTAAATGATAAAAATAAAAAAATAGAAAATTCTAAAGAGAAAGAAGATTGTAAAGAGCAAGATAATTTTGAAAAGAAAATGAAGTTGAATAAAATTTTGGATACCATTGATATTGGTCAAGATAAATGGCCTTCTTCACTCACATGATGATCCAGACAATAAAAATATCATTGTTGCCAATGAGTTCGTATCCGATTGCTACTCAAAGTTAATTCGCGCAGCAAAATCCTATCAGACCGCTCATAAAATATGGAAGTTCAATGCATATTTCTGGATGCTTCGGTGGAAAAACAAATTTGTGAATGATCTTCATGCAAAGTTGGTTATTCTAGTGATAAAGAATAGTGGATTGGACAAATTAAACTTAGACTCTTGAGGTTTATTTAAAAAGATCATTTCCAAAACTGGTAACTTATTGAAACCTGAAGAATGCGATGTAGAGTTTGTAAGAAAATAATATCCCAATTGAAAAAAGAGAAAAATGAGGATTTGAAAAGAATTTGCCTCAAAGAAATCAGAAGATCTTTGCTTACTTTACCAAACAAATTAAATCTTTAGATAATCTAAGTAACAAAGACTATAAAAACTCGAAGGAAACGAAAAACAAGAATCCTTGACATAAAAATTATGAAGATTTTGAACATTCCAGCTTGTAAGAATATTTTCTTATCAAACCAAAATAAATTACTCAACCAAACTTAATTGGCAATATTATATTAATATACAGTAGCACGGAATCCCTTTCCATTCCTCAAACATTGCTTATTACTTTCAAGAAAGTAGCTCATCTTGCCTATATGACTCACTTTGATTAAGACACTGAGATATCTCGTCATTATATATCCATACATCCAATACTTTAAATTCAGATTGCTGTGATAGAAATCTGACAAGATTACCATCAAATTTCTTAAGAAAACTAAAGAAGACAACTTAATTTTTAGCAAAATCAGATCAAAAATTCTTTAAATAAAAGCCCATGCGTGGGAGCTATTCGAATGGGTTCGTATATACAAGAGAAGATTATATTTCGACGTTCCAATTTATGTAGAAACGGATCAGATCCCGGTCTGCAATACCATTGTTCCAAAATCGATTCTTGCACCCATCTTGGACCAAAGTTACTTCAAATATTTTCATTTAGAGTATTAATTTATTTATTTTGGTTCTAATGTCAAACACTTCTATAGAATCACAACTAACTCTGACCCAATGTTCATAAAAATCATCATCAGCAAATTTCTCCGGATTTATAAATCTGCAAGTGAGAGTTCAGAAACTAAACTCAAATTTACAAGGAAGCTTCAGCTTCTTATTAATAAACTGATTGAGATTATTTCAAGTCTAGAACCAGATTTCCAAAACCAGGGCTACATATATCACTCCTTAGTAATGCTAAATGAAATTCTTTGTAATAAAGAGTTATTGGATAATCAAGAAATTGCTTACATGTTCTATACAAAGCATGCGACCAATACTTTCTTCTCATTGATCTTGAAAGAATACAATTTCATCGAATGAGCCCGAAATATGCGTATCTTTGCTTACGAAATACTCATCAAGTTGATGCTCTTCAACAGTAATGATGCAAAGAAGAGTTTCAGGGTATGGACGCATTCGAATGATAACAAAAACAGACTTTTCAAAAGGATGATCAAACTGATCAACCAGTTCAGTGCTTATTTCATAAACACGAGTATCAGTAAAAGAATTCAAGATTGTCTGGAGAAGACAGATTTCAGAGAACTTTCTTTGTCCCTTCAATGGCTCACATTGCTATGCCAGAATGGAAAGTACTGGCAAGATTACCTCAGCTCTCAGGATAACTCAGCAAAGAACCATAATATAATATAAGAGCAATTATAGAGCTACTGAGGACAAGTGTTATCCAATTAAAATTAGAATACGTGCTTCAATTGTTAAAAGAGATTGTGAAGTTTATCACAGCTACTCTCAATGGTAGAAACGAGGTTCTTGCCATCCGGTATGTAAACTCATCTCTTATAAATCATTGCATGAAAATTCTTAAGAAAGAGAAGATGAAAAATGAGAAGGAATTTCTATCTGGACTGAAGAAATTAAGTTTTGTCAGAAAGGATCCTCAAGAAATTAAGAAAGATGCCAAAGCTGAAGAATCAAAAAGTAAGTCTGTTATGATCTTTTTGGGCTCAATTTTGAGCTAGGCTTGAATCTTCAGTCACTTAAAGTCCTTTCAATTTTCAATGATTTATATATTTGATCGGGTTATAAGCATCTGTGATAGACAATACTAATTAGCATGGTTCATAACATTTCTTTGGATTATGATATATTCAGACTAATAATGTTAAATTTCTGATATATTTTCATGTGCTATCAATACTGGAATTGATGTCATCTGAAATTCAGACATAAGAAGATCCCATTATTTACAAATATATTAAGTCTAGTTAGGCATACTATCTCAACTGGATTTCATATATTCTAACTAGAATAGTTATCCGTTGATCAAAAATTCAATTTCTTATTACCAAGATAAAAATAGCAAAATTGGAGGGACGCTAGATTATTAAGATGGTGGTAAAAATTAATTAATAGTGCCCGACCAAAAGTTAAATAAAGCATAATTTTCCAAATTTTTTAAATTTTGACAATTTAAATTTTGGAATATTTATGTTAATATTTTGAAAATAATTTTAAATATACAAGTTTTAAATCATAAAGACTATATTTCTCTCGAATATGAAGGTGATTTACCTATTTAATCAATTATTGCATATCCTGACTTAGCCAAGTTTTAAATGATTAAGCATACTTTATCTGCATAGTACAGTAGATTCACAAACCTGGAAGTCTCCTTTGCACTTTAGCACTTCTAGTACTGTTATACCATTGCAAACTAACTTCGTTCAGAATTATAAAAATAGTGTTGTAAAGCATATCTCAAGCGTTCTAATATGTTGTTTAGGTATCAAAGAAATCAGAGCTTTGAATGAACTCAAGCATGAAATCCTTCGTATGATTAATGCTTTGGTATTTCCAAGCACTGAACATCAAATAAAGTCCCTTAAGAATGAAGAAATTATTAACAACATAATGATTTTGAATTATACTCAGTTCAGAATTTTCAAAGATGATATGTACACTCAGGAACTAGTTAACAAGTATTCTAGCTTATCAAAAGTGTATAACATCAACCTTGGGTTCCAGTCATATTATTTGATTTCTAAGCTATGGGACAACAATGGCATAGTCCCTTCTAATTGAGTACAAAGAAAAGACGCAGAAGGAATGTGGACAATGTATTGGAAGCTAGCAAAGGGATTATATAAAAAGTTGAAGTTTTACAAAAGAAGATACTCTCCTATTAAATTGAAAAAGTATGAACGATTCATCAGCAATAAGAACTTACGAGCTGAAGCTACCGATTTCTTTGACAGTTACAGCTCAAGTGTTGAGATAGTTTTGCCTAATGGGGAGATAGTCAAAAGATATTTTCAAATACTTCCATGATTCTTATCATTCACTCAGTCTGGCAAAGATGAATTCTGGCTCAAAGCCAATCTTGATAATAGCAAAACTGCAGTGTGCTCCTTTGTTAAATATGCAACTGATAAGGTAGAAGAGCTTTTTATTCAACAGGAAATTCAAGATTTACCAGTTTGCCCTAAAGATGTGGCAAAGGAAGAAAGCTGGCTCACTGATGTTACAAGATTCCTGGTGATTACTATCAACATTATACTTCTGTTTGGGTTGGAAATCAACGAAGGAGAAATTTTAGACAAACCAAGTATTTTCGGGCTGCATTATAAGACTACAAGAGCAACTTTGCTTATTCTTTGTTCACTTTTGTTCGTACTTTTCTGATACATTTTTGCTATACAAGGGACCATTATAATGAGGCTAATGGCTAAAAGAGCAGTCAGAGGAAAGAAGAGACGAAATGAATTAGTTACATTTTCACGAACATTTCGGTACGTTATTGAAAACAAGGAAGAGACTCTTGAACAAAGAAATTTCTGGTGCCTGCTGCCCTGACTAATCTTCTCTTTTATTGGGATTGCTTTCAACTACTTCTGGTTTGCATTTACTCTACTTTACATGGTAATTTTCTCACCGCAGATACTTGAGATGACAAATGCCCTCTGGAAGCCCAAAAAGCGTATTTTCTCTACCATTATTTTAAGTTCAATGGTATTGTATTGGTTCGCAATTTTGGCATATGTCTATTTTGGAAGCGACTTCAATTATATTATACCAGATTCAAACCAGACCTTGACAAGAACCTTAGCAGTAATTTTTGACTCCTGGTATAAATTTGGGCTTGGGGCTTTCCTAACAGAAAATGGCAAATCTGCTATCGTGGAAGAGATAAACGGTGAAAACCAGTATAACCTCAATGGAGCTAGACTAGCATTTGATTTCGGCTTCTTCTTCATTGTTCCAACTCTTCTCTTAAGTATACTGAGCGGTATAATTATTGACAACTTTGGAACCAGGAGATCAGTAAGCGATAATATCAGAAAATAAGCAAAGTGAACAATGTTTTATTTGTGGAAAGGCATCAAGCGATTTGCCAGATTTCGAAGAGCATTGCAAATTTCATCATAACATCTGGGATTATATGTACTACATCGGGTTCATAAAAGCCATGACTGTCACCCAAAGAACAGACTACAGAGATATCTACGTGATGCAGTGTCTCACCTTAAACCAGAACGACTGGTTCCCCGCTTATAATGAACTTAAGAAGAAAGATAAGCTGAGACAGGAAGAGCAGCCTGGGGGTATCGGTAAGTAGGCGTACACAACTGCGCTTGACACTCTTTCCCAAATTTCCCTAAATTAGCTCCCCCAATTTCTCTTCTATCTCATCCAATTCCTCAGTTCTTTGCAGGAGTAAACTAAGCCAATTACCTCACTTGCTCTTCTTCTTGGCTTACCTCAAAACCTGCTCTGGCTTAACCTAGAGCCAATATCTCCAATAAAGCTTCCCAGCTGGTCAGGTGAAATCGGAAGTCTTAAGAAATGACCTGCTAATATTCTTAATTTTAGGAACCATCCAAACCTCTGAAACGAAGATCTTCAACGATTATGATCAATTAAGTCAGGATGAAGGAACCAATGAGAAAGAGAAGGATTTTGAGGGGAGAATGAGCAGTCTTGAAAAGAAGATCAAGCAACAAACGCAGAAGATCAATAAATTAAGAAAAGCAAGAACATTTAATAAAATGATATAAGAAATAATTCTGAGAAAAATGTTCAATATTTACAGTTGATAAGAATTATTAAACGGAAACATTACTTCCTAGAGCTTTTAAACGCTGTGCTTAGTTAAACTCTACTCACCAGCCATGTTTGGACTAATTTTTCTGAAACTTCTATGCTCTTCTACAACTCTTGATAACTGATTATGGCATTAACTTTCCATTTCTAGGTTAAAATAATATTATTCAGCTAAAATATCTGCCTCGGGGTTTTGGGGTTTTGGGGTTTTGGGG